GCCTTTGTAGCAGTATCCCACTGCACCAATGATAACGCCAACTAACCCTTGCAAAATACAGTCTCAGGCTATGTTTCCTGCCATGCCCATGAAGATGGCCTGGGCGGCTAGCTGAAGTGACCAGAAGCCTACTTTCTTGAAACGACGCTTCCGAGCTTGTTCATCCACAACATCTCGAGCAAAAGCATCGTAGACCTGATTGACATTAGCATAGTATTTTGATCCGCTATGATGTGAACTTACTGCCGCCGAAAGGTCGTCCATCAAGCCGCTATCAAACGTCGTCCAACTGCCATCGAAATCACCGACCCGCTTGACAAGGCGACAATTTACAGGAATGAACGTTCGCCTTGAATTGATGTATGCAACAATGGGGCGGATTAGTGCATTGTTGATGTACGACAAATCCCGTGTGAACAGGGGGACCACTGCCCTAACATTGTTCAAGTGGAGACGTAGATCAGTAACCAGGAAACGCTTATCATGCTCAGAAGCGATATCGCTAGGTGGGGACTTGGACAATGCCGGGTCGTGGTGATTGTTCGAAGTGACGGTGGCCTCTAGCCGATCATAGAAGTCGGCCATAACCTTAGCAAGGCTTTCGTCGTTTTCGGCCGGAAACATGATATCGGCAACGATATCGACTGTACCCTCGTGTATCCAGGAGAAAGGTCCCTGGACACCACGGTTTAAATGGTCAATGTTGAGCCCGTCCACACGTATCCTGCTATGCTTTTTCCACGGGCTTGATTTGCCGTCCTCGGTGACACTGTCAAGCTGTGCACCAGTAAAGCCGTGTGTTTGACGAGGATGGATTGTAAAGAGTGAATTGTCAAATGATCCAGACATCATGTTGGCCGACATAAAGTCATATAGGAGCCACTGCTTTCTCAGTTGAGGCAAGTCGCAAGAGAAGATACTAACAGGGAAGGGCCTGAAACCGTCCGGCTGATAGACTGTCACCAACACGTCGCTCATTCTGAATGAGTCAATCTCAAAGTCCCCGGGGTGGTGTTCATGCCGGTACGATTTGGGGTCCAGGTCATCATCCGACCAATGAACATAACGGCGGTCAATGACTCCTCTAATGCCTCTTACCTCAACATCGCGAAGCAGCCCCTTGCCGTTTATCCATTTGGTGAACGATAGGGTAACATTGACGGTTTCGATTGACACGTCGAATTGCGTATAATTCGTATCTTCCTCGTCCGACGGAGTTCGCTGATCGGGAAGCTCATGACTGGGTTCTCCTCCGAGAGCTGCAGCTGCGGCTACGGCCGCAGCGGTCTTCGACGATCCTTTAGTGACATTTCCTGTCCCTTGGCCTGGTCGCCTTGAGACGAAAACGTTCTTGAACGTGATCACGCCATCTCTCCATTTAGGAACAATAGCAGATTCAAACACAACCTTCACCCCAGATGACTTGGTTAGATAGTTACCTATCCACCCTGCTAATGTTTCTGTGCATATTTAGTGATGAAAAGATAACGGCAAAGGTACTGGGTGACAGACCTTGAGCGAAAACCGTGTTGATTGCGATAATGAGCAACGAAAAAAAAGTTGTTGTGCCCAATACAACCCAGACTACATGCCCTAGAAGCACCCAAGAGAAAAGAGCTGTGATCTCATCCAAGTTGAAAGGCCGAACGCTTCGTATTGAAAACCACTTAAACCGCACCTTAAGTCTGGACCAAAAGCCATTTGCCGCAGCCAGCAATTCTTCCTTTGAGGGTCGATGCAAATGAGGCATGTGCGGCAAGCGGTTGATTAAATGGCGATTAGCATATAGCTTTTGGTGTGGATCATTCGAAGGTTGCATGTAGTCGCGGCCTTGCGTGACCTCATGTTTGTCGCCTCTGTCGCCTCTGGGCATAGGTTGATTTATGCGAGTAGCACGACTAGGTTCACAGTCATCTTTCCGGGGCTTCGTCTGATGGCTCTCATCATTGTGTGTATGTAGTCTGCGCTTTGACGCATTCTGAAAGGATATCAAAAATGATTTGCGGTCAAGGTGATATGAGAATCTCTTTGGAGATTTAGTACATGTTGTACGAGTCTCCACTGCAGTTGAGCTTGGCGAAACTCCGAGCACAAGACAACCCCCCCAAGCAAAGCGTCTCGTAGCCCTGTTGGAGATCTGGAAGGGGTGATATGGTTTCTTTGCGGACGGGCATTGAGAGAAAAGCCTCGAAGAGAGACTGCCTGGATTCAGAGGTGTGCGACTGGCTTGCGATCCATGCCCGAGAAGCGGGTTTAGGATGGCGTACAGCCTGCGTGTGAAATAGCCAGACATTATCTACTTCCTCACATAATGGAAAATGAATGTTTTGCTAGAGGCGCAAACCAGCAATCAGTAAGTGAATTGATAAATCCGAGGCGGAATGAATATGCACCAGTTCGCAAAGGCAGGAATTTGCCCATTAGGTCTTTGATACTGTCTCCGGAGACACTAGTAACATTGAGGAAATACAAGAGTATTGCGGGTCACGTGCATTGCATATTCTGCTTATGTTATGCCGTGTTCCAGCAGTCTGATAGGCGAGATTTTGTAATATGAATAGATGTGCATTAAGTCATACTGATCGATACTGCCAAGACTCGTATGGCTCTGAGTTCCTGTTTCCCCGAATTTTCTTCAGTCACATCACACATCACTAATTTGGTTTATTCGACTCGCTCTCACTTCACCGGGTTGAACCAAATCACAATGCCTGCACCCACCGCTATCAGGCAACCTGCCGCTGCCTCAGCGACGTCAGTCGCACCTGCGGCAGGTCAGTCATTATCTTGCCGACCAATGTCGCTTTACAATGCTAACAGCTTTTCCAGACCTAGATGAGGAGATCTTGATCGATGCCCAGCCCTCAGCTGATGGGGCCGCACCGGCGTTTAACTTTGCATCTGATCCAGCCCACGACGCTGATGTACATATTGATGAAGAGGGCCGGCCTGTTTTTACCCCGGCGAAAGACGTCCACCGCGTGCACCGAGTCGAAACCCGAAAAGTCCCCGTTCCACCGCATAGAATGACTCCACTGAAAGCTAGCTGGCCACGAGTCTACCCTCCGCTTGTTGAACATCTCAAATTGCAAGTGAGGATGAACATTAAGAATCGAGCAGTCGAACTTCGTACATCTCGATTTACGACTGATACAGAGGCCCTGCAAAAAGGTGAAGATTTCGTCAAGGCCTTCACGCTAGGGTTTGATGTCGATGATGCTATTGCACTGTTGAGATTAGACGATCTATACATCCGCTCTTTTGAGATCCGCGATATCAAAATTCTCAATGGAGAGCACCTCAGCCGTGCAATTGGACGCTGCGCAGGCAAAGATGGCCGAACCAAATTTGCAATAGAGAATGCCACCCGTACAAGGATCGTCATTGCAGACCAAAAAATCCACTTGCTAGGCGGCATCAAGAACGTCGAAGCTGCTCAGCAGGCCATTGTCAACCTGATCATGGGTAGCCCACCAGTAAGTACTCACATCCTTTCAGCACACAGCACCTGCTTACTTGTAAACAGGGAAAAGTGTATGGCAACCTTCGTAAAGTGGCTTCACGTATGAAGGAGCGCTTCTGATCACCTATACATGACTCTCCTTTGTTTTTATTCCATCTTGTTCTGTCCTATGACATGGGTTTGGCGTTGTGGAAAAGGTGATATCTGATTCAATAAATTCAATGAGACGATGACACAGCATTAACTTGAAAATAGCCTTTATTCAGTAATAATTCCAATACTCAGGATGCCGTCCACTTTTGCTATCCTTCGTAAGTCATACTGGAGCCAGAAGACACGCTTCTATTTAGTCTTTCTTCAGAGGATAGTAGATCTCCTCTATACCTCCGCTAGTAATGACCATCATCTGTAGACCATCACCAACTTCAATGTGCCTCTCAACGGCACTTGTGAAAGCATCCCGTACGAGCTCCTCAACTGTATCTCTTGACAGTGGGTCTGCTTTCTTGGGCTCCAGAGCATGGCCTTCGCCACTGCCAGGGATGTACTGATTTTTGAAATTGACCTGGTTGTCCAAGAATGGCATGATCAAGCTCGCTGCAGACCCAGCTGCTCTGCATTGTTCTCTCTCGTACGACCCTACTGGATCGTAGCTGTACAATGCACCTCTACCATCCTCATCCAAGCCTGCTAGAATAGCATGCACATAGTAGGGAAAGAACCGTTTCTGATAAAGTATCGTCGAGAGGCGCTGAGCACAAGCTCCGACGGACATTGACTTCCCATGCTGATACTTGTACATCTTTACCACAGCGTCTAGTCTTTCTTTGAGTGCTTGGCCATCCGCGGCGAAGCCCACAACCGACAGAAGAATGTGAGCACCCTCGCCAGTTTCATCATCACCTCCAATTTTGAAAACTTTCGGAACGTATCGAGAGTTGATGTTGTAGCCTGCAACGGAGCGAGTGTCACCAGCAAGGATAGCGAAGTCGGAGCCAGTGATGCCCAAGGTCGAACCGCCGTTGTCAGTGTACCTAGCTCTGTGTTAATTTTCGGTGATCGTAAGTCTATAGAAGAGGGCCTTACGGGTAGAATGAATGCTCTTTGGTCGGAACACTTGTTGACTGAGTGAAGGAATATCCGATGGCTTCACCGTGAGGTTGACTGAGCAAAATCGCCATTGCTCGTAAGAAACAAAAAGTTGTTGAGAGGACGGAAGATAAAGGGGAGTTGAAGGTAATGCTATGCAAAGTAGAAAGATTATATGTATTCTTGCAGCGCTTTCGATTACCGTCACGGCAAGCGGTCGATTCGGAAAGAAGGTTGGATGATGAAGGAATAGCTGAGCTTGGGCTGCTGACGCGATTGAGCTGCCTTGTGCTTATCTAAGAATTGTATCGTCCGTTCACCCTCCGTCATTATCTAATCTCATGATAACGCCCTACACAGGCAGTCCATCTCTTCCAGCCTGTATGTTTAATTGTGTTTTTACATGATTGCTCTAGTAGCTCAGAGCTACAGGCCCTTAAAAGAGTGTTACATGCGAAGAGATGTTGGGGCTTGCGGCCTATGGGAGCAGCAGTGAAGATGAAGCTGACCCCAATCCAATTTCCACCAAGACTAAGGTAAAAAGCAAAAGCATCTTCCGTATGCGAATATTTACTGATGTACCTGGCTAGCAAGGAAAAAAGGGACATCTTGCTCGGACCCCACAGGCAACTCAAAATCCAGGTGATTATGCGAACTTCTCCGTCATTCTAGGACTCTTTATGGTCTAATAAAATATGCTTGAAGCAGTACCTGAGAAAGAAACAATATTAGAGCATGCTTCCATGCCAGATTCTGACAGACCTATCTTCGGTCCATCGCATGAGAGCCCTTACGATGCACAAAAATTCGCACCGAATCACTATATGACACTGTCGGCATCTCGTACTATAATTCATGATTTAACACTTCCCCCTGTCCCGGATTTAGACATCCCTCCATCACCTCCAAGCTCGCCTGACCCCTCCGCAGATGCAAAGTTTGCCCATTTCTTGTCTTTGAAGAAACAGGGTGTCCACTTTAACGAAAAGCTTTCGGGTTCTGCGTCCTTGAGAAATCCCAGTTTGTTGAAAGCGATGATGAACCATGCAGGAATTGATAATCAGGAACAATATCAGGCTTCACTTCCATTAGCAATATGGAATGCGCCAGGCTTACCAAGTTGGGGGTTCACGGAAGTAATCAGACAGGCACAACGAGACATCCAGGGCACGATGGACGAGAGGAGGTCAGTACGACGACGAGAGGAGATACCCTTTGTGGCTGCCACATCTTCCTTACCATAAGAAGATCCACTTTTTCAAAAGTCCTAAGGATGAAGACTCACAACGTGCATAAAGCTGTAAAGTTGCAGCATTTGGCATAGAAAACAATGGAAATATGGGATTACACGGGTATTCTAGTGGCCATGCCAAAATTTGACCCCGTAGGTATCTGTGCATTTGAGTTTTCAAAGAGACAGGATCGAGATTTCGAACGATGGCCTACCCGAGGGTCGCAAACCAGTGCCATATGATTCACTGCTAGATGGCGATACTAAGTACTGAGAAGGATTCAACCATGAGGTCAATCAATATAACGATCCCTCAGGTAGGCTATGATACTTCATTGGGATATCTTCTGCGGCATTTCATACGGTTTCTGCAGAAATCATGCTGGCACTTACAGTGGCTGGTAGAGCAGGGCATGTAAAACAAATTCGCGCGCGGGCTGCATCACATCCAGATGCTCCAAGATAAAGCCGCGGTCTCCGGCGTGGGCGAGGCTGCGCAGGAGCGACAACCGGTAGATACTGTACAGCAAGCGGCTGAGATCGATCCAGTCCGAGATATTTTGGGCATAGGATGAAGCGCCTTACAAAATGAACAAGACAGCGAGGTCCGCCCGAGCATCATAAAGTAGCTAGGCTAAAACCTGGAGCCCAGTATAAATTAGCAAGACCATGAGCCAGGTGCCGGCGCTCATCAGTAGTACAACCTATAATACCCGTATGCTGTTGACTCTGGATTACGTAGCTAGGAACTGTACGGAGTACTTCATAGGTACAGCCTGCCGTAATCCGGATCAAGAAGGCGGTGTGGTAGTAGATTGGGATTACGCCAAGGTAGCAACGCAACGACGCGGCCAAACCTACACTGGCCTATCTTATCCTCTGTTCAACTGCCTCAATTCTACCTCCAACACCCTTCACCAGCAGCATCAATCTTCATTCGACTACTTTCACCTTCAATCCTTCATTCTTCTATAATTCATTGTACTCATCATGAATCATTTCCCCGAAGCTTGGGGCCGGGTAAGAGCACTTTCAGTTTCCGCTGCCTCTATCAAGCTAACCATATCCAGCCCCGGGACGACGTGTATGGCCCTTACAACCCTTCATACCTGCAGACTACCGGCCCCAAAACCCACACCCAGTCACCAGCAGTCACTGGGTCTTCAGTATTGGGAATCAAATTCAACGGAGGATGTATTCTAGCTAGTGATAACCTGGGTATAGTTTCAAACACCGCTGAAAGTGATAGAGTTGCTTGCCTAACATATTCTTTGAATATAGCTTCATACGGATCTCTCGCTCGATTTACCGACGTCAAACGACTCCGTAAATTTGGTGACACTGCTGTCGTTGGCTTTAGTGGGGATATTTCCGACATGCAGTACCTTGATCGTCTATTGGATTCCATTGACATCAGAGAAAACTATTCGGCCCACGGCAACACACTCAACGCCAAAAACCTCCACACCTACTTGTCCAAGGTCCTTTACAAGCGGCGATCTGAGTTCAATCCCCTCTGGAATCACATTTTAGTTGCCGGCTTCGATGATGACAAGAAGCCGTTCCTCAGCTCTGCAGATCTGTTGGGAACCACATTCTCCGCACCACATCTGGCAACTGGCTTTGGCGCCCACCTGGCTCTCCCAATTCTTCGCCGGCTATTTCCTGAGGAGAGACCTATCGAGGAGATCACTAAGGATGAGGCAGTCGCGGCGCTCCGTGAGTGCCTTAAGGTTCTCTGGTACCGTGACGCACGAAGCCTTGACAAGTACACCATAGCAGTCATCACACCTCAGGGGATTGAGTTCCAGGAGGATCAGAAGGTCGAGGCTCAGAGCTGGGCATTCGCTGAAACCATCAAAGGTTACGGTGCTCAGGTCAATTAGCTCACTTGTTGATTTATGATGCATGAACTCACTTCCAGAGCTTACTGCATATGCTCTCACCTGTGTAACAGGACCTTAGGAGCCTGAGATAGATCAAGTAATGTGAGAAGAAAGTGCCTCGTTGCGATTCTCTATAACATGCCGTTAATACGCCTCGGGCATTGTGGGCGGCCTTTATGACACTACTTTTACCTTGGTCCAGCAGGTGCTGACCTCAGGTGCGAGAGAGACATTCATCAAATCGCCATCCTTTGGCCTTAATGCTCTCATGCCAACACCTGAGGCCCTATGTGTGGCATGTAGTCTTAGAGGAGGCTGGAATGGAATATTGTCACCCGGAATGGCGAAAGATGTAACGGATTTATAGATGAGGACTGGAAATTTGAGTAATGGCGAATCCAATCAACTCGCGTGTTTCTCATAGTTAAGGCCCAGGCAGCGAGCAGTACCGATTCCCTCCAGCGCCTAGAAGCACTCCCACTTCAGCAATCTGGTTCGTAACATAAGCTGCTGGTATGTCACCCTGAGTGACACGTTCTTATGTGGCCTTTGCAACATCGTTAAAGCCGGCGGCATGAGATCATTGCCTTATCACGTGCTCCCTCAAATCTTTAAGGAAGAAATGAAGGGGCTGTTTAGCTAAGGATAGTGGCGCTCGGACTCTACCGGGATCTTGCCTGGTACTCATCATGATACGAGACTAAGTACTCTGGGACTTACAGAGAATGTAGCTATCGGCATAAGATCGTTTATTTGGTAAACATAGAAGTCTAGCAAGTATGGAGATTGCTTCCCTATCCGCATGAATAGGTATCCGTGTATATGAGAATATATATGCAAATCATAGTGCGGGGAAGGTTGCGGAGGGTAACTAAGCGTTCTCGGTTGGGAAAAGGGCGGAGGACAGTCAGAATACGATAAGGTAAGCTAACCCCAGCTTCCTGATCATGGATCCGTGTCTGCATTACCAAGATAGATCCTTCACCCTTAACATTGCTCCGCACTGTGTGACTTTCCCACTCACACAATCCTGCGCAGAAAATCGCTGCACAGACTCAATGGCACGATTGTCAGGTCTTCAGCGGGAGGTTCTATCTCTTTATCGGAAATGTTTGAGAGAAATCCGAAAGAAGCCTGTTGTAAGTCAAAATAGACTTTGAAGCAACAACGGTAATGGAAGAAGTGTCTGATATGGTCGATGCACTCTCGGTACTAGGAAACCCGACAGAATTTCAAAATATACGCCAGGTGCATTGAGACCAAACCGCTCACTATACACTACTGATTATACAATAGAACCGAGTTTCAGAAGCACATGAAAATCAGCAAAAAAGACTTCAATGCGATTGAATATCTGCTACGCAAAGGGCACCGACAGGTCGAGATGTATTCTTCACCGGGCATACGCAACATCCGCTAATCCATGCGGTGATGCTTCAATTCGGTGCAAGCGAAACGCTTATCTTGACCAACTTGTCAGCTCAAAGGCGCTTTACAGGGCAGTTGGCCAGCAAGTGGGTGACTCAATTACGTCATCCAGGCTGATTAACTACCTAAAGTCAAGTTGCCGCCAGCCGCCTCCCGAAGCTTATGGAATCGTCCAGAGGGACCGAGTAGGAACGGATATGAGCTCTATCAACACTCTAGTTAGTGCCAGAATACTCGTGCCAGTTCTCGGTTTGGCACTTAGCTGCTGGATAACACGATGGTAGATGAAGTATATAGCTAGCACAATGGCAAGGAGTCTTTCTGATAACCATTCAATCTTTACAGAATCCGCAACAACAGTGAAGTCTTCTAGCTTCACTCATCCGTCATTCTATTGAAGTCAAATAGTCAATAATTCTGCGAAGAATTGGCCTACCACCCATACTCAAATCCACCATGGCTTACTTTCCTCATTTTACCAATGATATCTCTCCTCTATTCCGGCTTCTAGATGACTACGATTGTCATCGCTCTAGCCGCGCGAAGATAACACCGACAAAGAAACCCATAACGCTAAAATCCGATGTCTTCGAAACACACGATGCTTTTCATCTATCTGCAGAAGTACCTGGCGTTGAATCCAACGATATTCAAGTCGAGTTCTTGGACCCAAATACACTAGTGATAAAAGGTCATGTCAGGAGGCATAACGGGCAGACATTCGAGGAAGGACAAGATCAGACCCCCGTTGCCAAGTCTTATCACCAGCCAACCGTGGAGGATGAGAGTGAAGCGGATGACGCTACGACGTCCCAATCCTTGAAGAACTCATCGAAGCAACAACTACTGACGCCAAAAAAGACCGAGTCTACCTGCAAACATTGGGTATCTGAGCGGTTGACCGGCGAATTCCACCGCGTCTTTACATTTCCAGCGAGGGTGCAACAAGATTTGGTCAAAGCCAATCTCAGAAATGGTATCTTGTCACTTTCAATACCGAAAGAACCTGCTCCGAAGGTGAAGAAAATCCGCATCGAATAGACCATCGAGCTTGGACGTTCCAATTCTGGACCATGGTGTCTTCCAGGGGTCGATATGCGCGGAAATCCTTCGGGCACCTCGCGCGGATGTGTGAGCCTTGACATGATTGCATAGTAGGGAGTCTGGTTCTGTACTTCTTTGGGCATGTTTATGTCGGATCTGCTTGAGGGTTTTTGTTGTTTTCTATATGCTATAGGGTACTTGTACAATGAGCAATAATCAAGCTTCTTGCAACTTATGATTTGATCTTTTTTTCCCTTCTCTCGTACGCGTAGGACATCAGTGCAGAAAAAGCCCAAAGGGCCGTTGAGTCACACAATCAGGCAATTGTCCTCATAGAATGAGGACGAGCGCCATGATGATGTATGAAAAGTGGTAACCTGATTTTCCGCACCAAGGACCACCAAGTAAACTTATACATTTGACAAGGATGCATAGAATGAAAACGTGTAAACGATATGAGAAAAAAGAATGGCTGATCAGAAGAATGTAGAACTGTTCCCTGACTATTTTGACAGTCTTCCGGATCTGACAGTCATTGAAACAGATAAGCTGTACATGTGTGCAAGAAAGACACGTGGTATAGGGTTGCTAGCATAGCCAAAGCAAAGATCAACTCAGTTAAATGATGATGGTATCATAGCAAAGACGGGTAACACAAAAATCAAGACAAAATGTGATGTTTGGTAGCATAACAAAGAAAAGGCGGAGCAGGAATTATAAAATAAAAAGAGGTATAGAGATCGAAGAGAAATGTCCATTCAAGAAACATGGATGACATTGGGTTGATCAGGGAATGCAGTATCAAGGAATGGTGAGTGGAAATCAACAACCTAAAAGGCCGTGGACGTTATAAATGCCTCGTCAGTCGGCGCCCCTGATGTTCAATGGTTCGACTTCGGGTCCGACCCCGCGGAAAGTCCGGGATCATAGCCCTCATGCTCTCTCCATATGGCTTCAACTTCTCTTGAGAAATTGGCAGATGATATGTGCTAGTGGTCGCTTTGGAAAGCCAAGAATCGCTAAGTGTGCTGCTTCTGCTACTGCTGCTGGCGCCACTCAGAGTCCCACAATCGCTCGTTGCGCCAACTTGAGAAGTTGATGTCGAGCTGCCTTCAGACAAGGATGGGCATGGCCCACTATTGTAATGCAAATTGCTGCCTGCGATTCCAGCAGGCAGGCGCAACGCTAAGTAAGGGTCAACGCTCGGACGAGACATGGTCCCCTTCCGATTGAGTGGAAGAGAGTCACGAATGTTGTCATTGCTCATGCCAGGATCAAGAAAAAAGTTCCTGTGCCCAGTCCGCTGAGGTATATTATCAGATGACTGTGGTATATTCGTCTTCAATCGCTGCGCTGAGTCAGTACTATCGAAGTTAGAAGAGACGCCTTCATAGCTCCGCAGCTGGCCACAGTATTGTGGATATGACACTAAACGATCAAGATCACACGAGACTGCAAGTGATGTGCTCCTGGCACGCCTATAATGACGTCGTTGTTGTAAGTCGTGACACATAGAAGACACAAAAGCTGGCTGGTCAGAAACCTCAAGTTCGCGGCGACTGCTAGAAGCTTGGAGACTCAATTGTCGATGTATTCGAAGCTGCTTTTCTGTAGCTGGCAGATCTGTAAATCGTAAAGATTGAACGTTTCTCGCCCTATTACTAGACGTAGGACTAAACGATGGAGTAGCAGGCGCCACAAGCACTTGAGAAGGCGACGACCTCAAAGCTTGATTATTCAGACAGGAATGGAAATGTCCGCTATCAGCCATATGATGCGAATAGCGAGACCCTCTGCGCTTACTCAACCTTGAGTAACCCTGCTTTGACAAAGCATCTTTTCTATCACTTGGGGGCGCAGAGCCGCCTTGAGAGTTCGTTACTGAGATACACGGTCTCAATAAGTCTGGAACAGTGGGCGATTTCTCAATAGAAAATGGACTTGTCGGAACATCCTCGTTCTCTGCATAATCGGCACTATTGGGGGTCTGTAAGGAGCACGTAGCTGAACTACGCCTGGCAAGACTCTGCAGATGGGCCTGAGCGGTCGCCAACTCACCCCCAGCAACCTGTAAACAGGGTTCGAAAACAGTCATATTGTTCGGACTGATGTCGGTTCGATGAGGCAACAAGTCAGGTTGCTCATTATTATTCGAAGAAACCTGAGTCTTAATGCGTCGCAAGTCTGGGCGCCCAAGCTTGATGGACTCCTCTTCAGATGCACATCCTGGGTGCAGGCTCGGTGACGGACCTTCGGGGTATTTAACCCTAGTTCGGTCACTGGGGCATGGAGATGTGGAGCCATTCACGACGCGTAATGATCCTAGTTTCAGTGCTCCTAGATGTGTGTACTCGAGTTCATTCGGTGTAGGAGGACGTAACTGCCCCGATGGAATACCAGGTCTGGTCGTGCTCTCTTCATTGTGAGTTGCGAATTGTTCGTGCGCCTGACATGACACATTTGAGTTGTTGGTTAGATGGCCATTCCCCTGGTCAAGCATTAGAGGCTGTCTTCGAGCCGGGTCTCTGGTCGATCGTCGTGTCGCAACCCCAGGCCGCGTCAATAGAGACCGTCGGCGGATCAGAGAGAAGCCTTGACTGTCGACCATGAAGTGCGTGTTGGAAGACTTCGCTTCTTCGATAGTACTGCGGCTAATAGCACTGTGCGTTCTTTGAGGTGGCGAAGTGGTCGAATAGGATCGTTTGGGGTGCCGGTCAATTGGTGATTGCGGAGAGGCTCGAAAGTCGGCGGACCGAACGCTACCTTGTCCGGAGGGCTGGAGAGATGCTCGTCTATCCACAGCAGAGGGCTCCACAGTAGCGACAGTGGGCGAGCGCAAATCCATGCCCTGTGGCTCTATGGCTATAGCCTGGCATTTTCGGGGTGCATTGACGGAAGGCCACGGCGTTCTGGGATGAGAAGTCACAGAAGGAAGAGAATGTGATCTTCGTCCGCTCGAAGCCGGATTATGCGTGTTGATGGGTATGGATGCCCCTGTCCAGGGATTTTGCCATGCAGCTGCGGGATGCAAGCACACAGACGAACTACCAACAGAAGACTGATGTTGATGAGATACGGAGGTGACCGATTCCACGGTTGCTTGTTTCGGAGGTGGTTTTGACAAGCGTCTCGAGCGGCGGGAGCGCTTGTCCTTACTCTGGTGGTGGACTGACACTGACAAAAAGCTTCCCATTTCCAGACAGGTAGGAAGCTCGTTACTCGACGGCCGACAGGCTCAGGCACCCTTCTAGATCAGTGATAAAAGCACAGGCACGGCATGAGCGGGCGCGCAGAATCGGCAATGGAGTGATATGAGCACAGACGTCGCCAGCCAGGCTTGAAGCGCTAGGCTCCTTGTCACGAAAACACCCGCGTGGGAACCCAGACTTAATCCTCCACTTCAGCTGCGAATCACGAGAAGAGCTATCGAAGGCGTGGCAAGTAGATAATGAAAGGCCGAAACTGGGCCGTGTGTGCTTGTCGTTTCACAATGTGGGCAGCCGACGCTAGATTCAACAATGGAGTCGATAAATGGCCCCAGGCATACATAGACAATACGGACAAGAGAGGTACGAGATGTCGCCGTAATCGCAACCGCGGTGATATGCTTGAGCTATGCCCCGGCCTCCCGTTTTCTTCTGTATTAGTTATAGAATGTAAAGCGCCACCACCAAGTGATCGGTACTGGCGAGTTGAGAATGAGGTTAAATAATTGGTTGTCTGTCGTGAGCGATGTATGATATAGGTAAGGATGGTTGATTGCCCTGTTGCTCTTGGCCTGTCGGAATCCTGGACGGCCAGGGCCACCAAACAGTTCTGGAATTGAAAGGTTAAATAACCAATAATAAAAAAGACCCAGAAAAATTTCAACAAGTGAACAAGTGGTGATGAACTTGTAAATTAGGATTGAAAAATTTATTGACTAGAGCCCCCGGAACCCTAAGTAAATTGATACAGATTCAAATTGACCTGGGGAGAAGAAGGGAGGGGGGGGGGGCAAGAAGTGGGTAAGAGAAACGGAGGAAGGAGATAAATCAGATCCAGCCCAACGGACAGCCAAATAGATTAAGGATTAGAATCCGAGGTAGATAAGCAAGGGAAATGAAATACATAAAAGAGGTGGAGCTCCACTGGTTCTGCCATGGTTGAGGGGGATGCACACAACAAGACATACTGTGGTAATGACGATAGAAGACGGATGCGTATGGAGACGAACGGATCGACAGCTTGCAGACGGTCTGACGGTCGGAACACAAACCAGCTAGACTAGATGACACGACCGCTATTCTTCATTCTTCAATTAGCCACTCAATTGCGTTTATCTACTAAACTCCATAAATTAACAAGAGTCTACCGGTATGATTGTCAACCTCTCTCTATTACGAGGGGCTCTTGGCCCTGGACTACTATAAAAATCAGCATACGAGCGCTGGGAATCAAACACCCAAAGGAAGTGGTAAATGTTGTTCTGTAAAGAGGAAAGTTGCATGAAAGGCCGAAGGGCAACCCCGACGGATGCGGACAAAGAAAGTGGCACGTTGAGGGGCAACGTATCCTGTCAGGAAGAGAAGAAAGCTCCCTTTTGTGTAGTTAAACTAGTAGGGTAAGTACTACCTGGTAGCGTATAATACTGTACAATTAAGTACTGTATACTGTATCTGGTGACTTCTACAGTACGTACTGTGCGGTATCCGTACCTATCACTTTATTAGTGAAGGCAGTGCTCAGTGCAGTAATTAGTCTGGTCTACGTATCTTGAAGGACTGTACAAAGCAGTACATATCATGTCTTGTACGTGCATAGAGATTTGGCAAATGGATCGTCAGGACCAGGGGGCACTTACCTAGTAGTTGGACTTAGGACCTGCTGTGGATCATCTCAGGGGAAAAAGCTTGTCGGTTGACAGAGATGGCGCCCTATGATTGGCACACTCTTTGCTCACTCCTGGCCGCATTCAGTGGTGCCAGGCGGGAACCTTGAAGGACCTGGGCAACTTAATCCGTTTGTCGAATGCTGACTTGTCTCATTCCCAAGTCCCGGTTTGCGCCAAGTTGATGTGCATTGTGAGCGAATTCAGTGGTTGCGAAGAGGGACCATGAATGGTTTCAATTGTCATTCTGTCATATGTACGGAGTACTCTGTACAGACCGGTACAGTACCGAGTACTCCGTACTGAAGTTACCATGTGAAAGTAGTTATACACAACCCTTTGCTAGTCAATCCTTGACTGACTTTTGCCCCTAAAGACCTACTTATATACTCAGTACTCCGTAGTTACAGCACACCATCCATCAACCGTAACTGCAGTGCCTAGTCGTCTCTCCCCTTTCAGTAAGACACTAAATCAGTCAAATAATTGAAGGCGTACTCGAGCTCACCCTGACTTGTATAACAAATTTCAGGTGTAATACTATAGTCTAGAAGATCAAACTAGTGTGTACGGTATGGAGTAGTTACCGGCAGTTTGTGGATGAATGAGGTCTTGACTCTTGCAACTGCTGGCAGTGGGACCTCCAGGCTCTCAGCTCTCTCTCTCCCTTACCGCTTTAGAAGCTTGGGGGGCCCGCTCCTTCAATCCTTCGAATGAAAACGGCGTTTATAAGCCCAACTTCTTGCGCATCCCCGAAATCTTCTGCGATCCTGTCGGTCAGTAGTCGGATTACACCGCGTCTTTACTTGTCGCATGGAGCTTTCAACCTCCACCCAGCATCCGGCCTTGGCGATCTTTCCTTTGCTCACGGACAAAGAGTTCGATTCTGCCTGTGACCAATTCCTCGGTCGGGTTCACGTGGCAAATGAGTCTTTGATGGGGCGGCTGACTTTTCAATATGCTCAACGGGTTAGTTTCTGGTGGCTCTCACTCTTCCCTCCACGTATCTTGCGACACATCTCGCTGCCAGTCTCTCTATGAATTGTCATATACCTAAAAAGGTCTACATTCAAATTATGCATCATGGAAGGATACCTTTCCCATTAGCGCCACAAGTGGAGGGCCATAGATGTGGGCTGTGCACTTCAACTTAGGGCACTGCAACTATTGAATCCATGCTCCTGTACTCTGTGATTGCCATGTAACACAGTGAGCTAATTTACTAGGCAATTGGTCCGATTTTGAGAATAACACGGCGGATCTCTCACGTCAGTATCCCCGCATACAATAGTCAATCCTCGGCGGACGACCCGATCCGAGAACGGTATACAGAGGCTTACGAAGATGACCCTGTCCGTGAAACATCCAACGTCATTGTGATTGATTTGAAACAAAGCGACATCTAACACGCTATGAACAGGAAGCTCTCATCCGTACACCCGAGCCCAGCGTCAGCTTACACGTAGTTTATGACGTCCTTCTTTCGCCCACCTACCAAGTCCCCGTCCTGTATTTCAACTTACGGCCGACTGATCATCCCGGACCGTTGGGGATCGACGCAGTTTACCAATATTTGGTACCGAGCCAATACAGAGAGGAACTCCAAAGCGTGGGTGTCATGGGTGGGATTAGTCTGGGTGTATGTGCAAGTATTCAGAACCCTAACTCAAGCTAGAGCTTATAATTTGTAGTATCATCCAGAATCCGGAACTCCAGCATTCTTCGTCCACCCGTGCAACACTGCGGATGTTATGAGGCAAATCGCAGGACACCGGCGTGTCACCCCCGAGACGTATCTCATCATTTGGCTCGGATTAGTCGGAAATCGGTTGGGTCTTCAGCTGCCAAGGGATTTCTTCGCGACAGATGAGTTGCGAGGGAATTCGAGGTCTTGACTCGCAGATTCAGCTTTCAGAGCACTTCTAGACTGACATGTCCCCGGAACTCGGTCGACCAACAGAGACCAGGAGCGCATATGCCTTGGGGCACTATTTGGGGACTTAGTCTTCGTCGGAGGATGCTTCCATAGGAACATCACTATCTTCATCCATGGGAGCATCCTCTTCGTCACTTTCTTCCTCACGCGGCCTTTTTAACCCGTGAGCTGTCGGCTCCTCTCCGTTGACCTCCCCGGTATGTTTCGGGGGCAGTGTTGCTGACCCAGGAGGTCCGCTAAAGATTGACTTTTGCAGCTCAGTAGACGCCGCCACAGCTTGCCCACTGGAGGTAGTGACCGACAGGTTATAGGTTCCACGAAGTCTCGCGATAACGTCTGAAGTGCCTTTGGCATACATAATTTTCTGCATTGGCCCTTACGTTAGCAAACGAAGAATAACAGTCATAGGCGTAAGTTTTACCATTTGCTTGCCAAAGAACTCGAAACCCTGAAGAGCGCGCATAGCTTGCGTACTAGCTTGGACATCCTTGAACACAATATGAGCCTGGCCACGCATTTTCTCGGTTTTCATCGCGACAACATCTAGAACAGTGCCGTAGGTGGAGAAAAGCATGTAGAGGGACAGTCGCAAATCATGTTTCCGAAGTTTGTCCGGTAGATTTGTACAATATAAACTATGGAGGATCAGCTCTGTGGTCTCGTATATGAGTGGCAGGTAATCTCACGTTTGATTAGGGAGGCCACTCGAAGGCGGTTTACTTTGAGCGCCGCCGCGTGCAGGTATGATTTTCGTACTCATTATCGTCAGGTGGTGATTGAATTGGAGAAGGAGAGGTGGGAAGCGTTAAAATGGAAGGAACGCAGTATGCAATTGAGCTCAAGAAGGACATTAAAAACCAAGGAGAATAAGTCTGCGCAGCCAGAAACACCTGAACAACTGAGCGATCTAGGGTCATGTGATGTATTATCTAATCGGACCAGTCCTCCGCGTCATCGTTAGGCATATTCGTAAAGTACACATGCCCCGTAATTGACCGTTCATCCCCTCTCCCCCACTTTCTCTCACTTCCACGTACACACTCCTCTCCTGAGCTATCACCAGCTACCTAATCGCTTCGACAGTAGAGAGCTCCTCCTGTCATTATCGTTACAATGGCTGCTCCTGAAATTCATCATCTCTTCCATAATCCGATCGCCGACCATTCTTTCTCTCCCGACAAATCAACACTTGCGGTTGCGCGAGATAGCAATGTGGAGCTCTACCAGAAATCAGGTGCCAAGTTCTCACTGACTGATGAGCTCAAAGGCCACGAGAAGACTGTGACCGGCGTGGACATTGCTCCTAATAGTGGCCGTATTGTTACTTGCTCACAGGGTATCTCGTCTCCCCTTTCTTGTGTTCTACTTCGGCACTAGTCTAACACCGTGATATAACACAGATCGAAATGCATACGTATGGGAGCGCACTCCATCGGGCTGGAAGCCAACTCTCGTATTACTCCGCATAAACCGAGCAGCAACTTTCGTTAGATGGTCGCCATCGGAGCAGAAGTTCGCCGTTGGCTCAGGTGCCCGTGTAATCGCTGTATGTTATTTCGAAGAGGAGAACGACTGGTGGATCTCAAAGCACTTGAAGAAACCGATTCGGAGCACTATTACAACTCTCGCATGGCATCCGAACTCGGTGCTCTTGGCTGCAGGCTCCACCGACTCTCATGCCAGAGTCTTCTCTAGCTTCATCAAAGGCGTCGATACACGTCCGGAGCCGAGTGCCTGGGGTGAGCGTCTGCCTTTTAACACCATTTGCGGCGAGTTTTTGAATGACTCCGCTGGCTGGATCCATGGAGTCTCATTTTCTCCCAGTGGAAACGCCCTCGCATTTACTGGCCATGATAGCAGCGTCACTGTCGTTTACCCGAGTGCCCCAGAACAGCCCCCTCGAGCGATGCTGAACGTCACTACTCGTTTACTGCCATTTACAAGTCTCATTTGGAATGGAGAGAACGAAATTATCGCTGCCGGTCACGTAAGACATTGTGACATCTCGCGGGACTTGCATGACTTCAAAGCTGACTCGCCGATTTAGGATTGTGAACCTTACCGTCTTCGCGGCGGCGAGAGTGGATGGCAGCTTACAGGGACCATAGAGAACAAGACAGGGCCAGGTGCCGGTACCGCGCGGGAAGAATCCGCCCTGCACATGTTCCGTCAGATGGATCTCAAGGGGCAGACTCAAGCTGATATTCAACTCAAGTCAACCCACCAGAATACCATCAGTACCGTGAGGGTGTATGAGGAGACCGATGGTGTTCTGCGCAAATTCAGCAGTGAGATTCTACCACTTGATTTGACCCTCGTCTGTAGGAGCTTAACTAACTTGATGGATTGCAGCGAGTGGGGTTGATGGCCGTGTCGTTGTCTGGACCATATAGACGGTTCCACTTTGTCAACACATTTGATGATGCATTGTTCGTGAAGGGCCAGGTGCCTTGGCTTAGTACTCTGTTGCCCCGCCTTCGGGACCTATTTAAATCGTGTGAGAAGGGGCGCTTGTCGCTTTAGAAACACCTTGAAGTACATAGAATCTGGTTGGTTGTGTCGGACGTAGATTGTGCAAATTAATAAAAGCTTGTACTGTACTGGGTATTGGGCCATGGAACGTAGTACAGCATAGCATGTAAGTTACTGTAAACCCTTGAAACTATGGATCCAGCCTGGTCGTAATTTTCCCCGGATTCTTCGACGTCACGCCTCGCCGCTCGTCACGAGCCATTGTTTCAAACAAGTACGACCACGACGGCCTCCCAGACCGCTGCATCATGAATGATAGATGACAATGATTCTGAGATCTAGGACCGAAAGTCTATCATGGCCGTAAGTTCAAGTCGTCGGGACATCTTCTACATTCTTCTCGCTTTAGCCTCTGTATCACTTGTCTTGCTTGTCCGCCACACAGTCTCTTCCGCCGAACTTGATTGGATCTCGCTCAATGAAGCTCAGCGGTCGATTCCCAACAGCCTTTTCCTTGAACTGGACCAGCTCGCACGCGTGGTTGATGTCTCTTACTGTGTCGGCAACACCGGGCTCCGAAAACCATTCGAGTGTCTCAGTCACTGCGCCGACCTGGAAGGATTCGAGTTGATATCAGTAGGTGCCTCGTCTCTGATGCGGCGAAGAAGTTGGCCTATTTCTAAATCCGCGCACCCTGATAGGTATGGAATACAGGACCTTTACTGTCGGACTCCTGCGGTTATATCGCCCTTTCTCATCCGCCGTCACCAAAGAGGATCATCGTCGCTTTTCGTGGCACCTATTCGATCGCAAACACCATAATCGATCTCTCCGCTTATCCGCAAAGCTACGTCCCTTACGACCCGGGAAACGACACTGGTAATGAATCGGGGACGCTCCATTGTGAAGAGTGCACCGTCCATGCGGGGTTCATGTCATCCTGGCAGAACGCACGCTCGGTCGTCCTGGGCTATGTCTCTGCCGCAAGGCTACAATATCCTGACTACGACCTGTCTCTAGTTGGCCACTCCCTAGGCGGAGCTGTCGCTGCCCTAGCTGGGGTGGAGATGCAGCTACGGGGCTGGAAACCAACGGTGACAACGTTCGGAGAACCGAAGGTTGGAAACCAGGGTTTCGCCGAGTATCTTGCCAGGTTGTTTGAACTACCAAGGGGAGCGGCATCTGTTCCCGTCGAACGTTACAGATTCCACCGTGTTACCCATATCAACGACCCTGTTCCGCTCTTGCCACTTGCGGAATGGGGCTACGAAATGCATGCGGGAGAGCTCTTTATCGCGAAAGAAGACCTTCCACCATCAGTGTCTGATGTCAGGGTCTGCGAGGGTGACAAGGACGAACGATGCATATCCGGTGCGGACCACACTTTGAGGCTCGCACTTCGCGAAACGCCCACCCTTCTCGTACGACCACAGAGTGTCGATGCGCCTCCTGATTCGAAGGAACAACAGGCGCTGATGCATGTGTCTTCGCTTGAAGGTTATATCCTAAAATCGCAGGATAAGGGACAGTTTCGCCATGAAACATGGCGAAGATTCCTGTGGCATTTGAACCCACCGCGTTTGCATTTATGGGAGTTAATGTTCTCTCATCGAGACTACTTCTGGCGACTGGGGCTTTGTATCCCGGGGGGTGACCCAACTGGCAAGGGGTGATAACCGATCGATATCGCTTGGGAGAAAAGCCATTGCGTATGTGACTCTTCAAAGGCGCATGCTCTATTTGTCAGGGAACAAACCTAGGATGGTCGTGAGAATTGACTACATTGAGCGATCTTACTGTACTCTCAAATCGTGTCTCGTGCAGCAGGTTAGTCTTAGTTGAACCTTGAGACTATAGTACATCATCATACTTCAGAGTGGAAGAAAGAATAATAAACTCTGCACGTTCATTGAGTATTGATTGGCCAATGCAAGGATGGCCAAGCGGAAGGCCGCGCCCGTACGCTTCTGCAACCTTCCTGCCTGTTATAAGTAAAATGACCAAATTTATTTAGCTGCGACCTTTGTGAGACTCTTCTGTGTCTTCTACAGCAGGGAGACCTTTTGTGTTGTAAATAGCCCAATGACGCCACCATTCTCGAACCGGGAATATGCAACGTGGTCTACTGCATCACTATTCATCATACCTTTAAGCCATCGATGTCGAGAATAAGGAGGAACGCGGGGGGGTGGGGGGAAAGGGCTGTCGATTCTAGCTCTCTCTAGCCCATGCGTAGCCAGAGCTATGAGCTTCCTGCTTTCTCACTTGCTTGGTCCCATCGTGTTATCGTCTTGAAGATCCTTCTCCCCTTTATGATATCACCACAGCATGGTTGATACCTCATTTGAAGGCGTGAGATAGTGAGTGTCCAATTAATGTATGTGGTTTCACTGAATCAACATCCCTTGTGAAACACCATATTCTTAGTTCTTTGGTATCGATTCTACCCAGTGGCCTACCGGACTGTCCTACATAGGATGCCTGGCTAAATTATTTCTATTCTACTTTGACCAGTGGTCGATTATCTGAACGGCAGGAGATAACACGGCATTTCCAAGGCAGGAATGTGCCGGTGCCCCGACAAGACAATACCTACTATCGCCGGCCTCATGGTCCAGCTCTCTTGTTGACACTACGGTTTAGCAGCATTGCAGGGATAATGTGTATGACGTGACATTAATATACAAGATAAAGGGCTAATGGCAGAACAAAATACATGCTGAAGCATCCTCCGAGCAGATACTAGGTACTACTAATCTGTACTATGCCACGCAAATAGAAACATCATAGCCAGACCTGATCTTCCATCAAAGGTCTCAGTATGGAGTTAGGACTTGAGAGAAAAAGGTAGAAGGGTGGCGTTGAGAGAAATATAGATTCCTCCACCGGTTCACTTTCCAGGGTCCAGGCTAGGGACAATTACCGGTCCATATTTCACAACCGTCCCAAAAGTTCCATCTCCCTGAACCATGAAATCCGCAGCAAGGTTTAACCTGCCACTTCCAGGGTTCGAAATAGCTTGCCCATACATCGTATTCACAGCATCTGGATCATAAGCAACGATAGCCACATAATTTCGACGGCCCATCAGCTTGCGGTGCTCACGACTTTGTCCTGTCACGTCGGATTGGAAGATCTCCATCATATCTTCTTTAGTGTCAGTTGGCTGTGATGGCGTCGAGCGATGGCCGTTGGCGGGGATATAGAGGGGCTTGTTGTTGCTGTGAAGCATTTTCATGACATATGAGGGCGGGGGACTGTTCACAACCGGCGAGGAGATTAGTTGGTACATTGTCTTATGATTTGAGGGATGAGCTGGATCATGCACTAGTCCAGCACCGCAAGCATTCACAGCACCAGAGAGGAAGGTCATGCGCAAGGACTTCTGATGAGAGATACCCTGAAGGGTGCGAATCAGATAGGTTCTCTCGAGATCCTGTATGCCTCCGTTAATGATCGGTCTTGAACGGTCGGGGAGGAGCTCACCTACCTTGGATTCGTGTGTCCATTGGTCTCGAAGCTCATCTAATAGGTCTAGCTCCCCGAATGGGCTAAGAATTCCGCCCATGAGACCAGACTTTCCCACAGCACGCTTGACAGAATTAAATCCGGAGCCTACAACGTCCTTGGCTCCGACCACACCGGCTACGGAGCTGGTAACTTTCCCAAGAACATTGTATGCCCCGGTCACGGCCCTCTTTCCCGTTGCAACCGTATGTGCTATATGTTCTGCTGTCTCTAGCCGTGGATAAATAATGGGTACGGAGAGCATCCACAGGCAGTGTTGCACATTAGCAGGGAGCATTGCCACTTTGGGAAAGATGCCTTGATATGTTGGTCCAGCTATGACCTGGTGTGGGTTGCGCTCTGATCGACAATCTAGCCCAACGACGACTACAGCGGGTCCCAGGTATTTCACAAAATGCCAGCCAGTACCGGTTATCGTGAATAAATCGGTGTCGGTCCTGGTGCTGCGGAGTAGATCCAGAGTGGTATGATGCTGGAAGAGCAGATACATCTCCGTTCCAATTCGGCCTATGTTCTTGAACATGTTCGAGAATTGCATGTGCTCCGGGTATGAGCCATATCCGTCAAAGCTGGAATCATTAGTCGCAGCTATTTGTTCGTGGTGTGAATGCACTTACATGTCATGGTCGTCGATCTGGCAGACATATGGGACCTGTGCGAATGACTCGCGCAGATAGGGTTGATCAAAATGGCTCGTGTAATAATGGAAGTACGCATGGGAAACGTCTTCTTCGTGAGCTGTGGTCCACGGCGCGTTTTTTCGCGTCTCCTTTCCGCTCATTGCAAGCCACTGCTTCAGACACGAAATCTCCTTCCACATACGATCAGCATAGATCTGACCTCCAAGGCAGAGTTGCACATGAAATCCCCCGATTTCGTTATGTTTCTGCATAATATCTTTCCACATGAACCCTACACCCCCAAGCCGGGAACGTTCATTCGCATTCACATTCAAGGAGAAATCGTTGCCAGACGTAGTAATAAAGCGCCAGCTTGTTTCGTATCGCCCTGCGATCAGGAACTCATACCGTGTGCAGCCCAAGTGGGACGTGATGGCGTAGGTCCACTTAGCAGGCCCTGTTTCATCCATCTGTAGATCAATCTCATACTTGTAGAAGGTCCAACGCTGGTGCACAGCGATAGGTGTCGCCTTCAATTGACGTGGATTCGGTGAGAGATCGACACTTTGATGGATATGTATTGTAGGAGATTGCGCCACATCGGTGACGAGAAGGATGGAGCCCATCCAAATGCCTCGCTCGACATCCATATTGGTGTAGCGGAGATACGGGCCAAAGTATACACCGTTGGTCGGTGCAACTTTATACAAGTCTATCCCATTGCTTGGAGGAGGCCCACTGAACCCTGCTACAACAGGGGATTGCAGGCTTTCGTATCCTGGGGTCAAAGGAAGACCAGGAGAGGTCAGCGGCTTACCAAATGCTGAGAATACCGGCGAAGCCAGAGGGTGACTGCTGTACACGCTGCCTACCGGGGACAATGGAGTGTCATTGAGATTCAAGGGCGTTGGCCCTTTGGGAAATTCCCACTGAGTTGATTGAGTGGGCAGATGAATGTAATAATATTGGCCGGAGTTGGAGTCCAGGTGAGCAATCCACCCTTCGGGCAGCGGTGGCGGAGAAGCCGGTGGAAGTCCAGACGACGCGGACGACAACGTATTCACCTGAGCTGGTTGGAGAACGGGGTGATGACTGTTCTGCGACGACAATGCCTGCCCGCCAACCTCGGGCGACACCGCCAGTGACCCCTGACGTCGCAAATCATTTGCAAAGGCTGGGTGAGCGGATGCAACGGGTGCAGTGGCATGAGAGGCACTACCTGTGGGGCTCGTAGCGTTAGGGTGAGCGTCTGTGACAGGTTGCTGTCCCGCCAATACTACAGGCTGCTGCTTCTCAGCGGAATAGGCTTGTGAGGTTGCGGGCCCTGATACACTTGAATAGGCGGGCGGGGGGGATGAGCTAATCCGCATGCGCTCAAGGTCATTTTCAAGAGCATTTGGGGGGATCCTCGTCGGTTGCTGAGCCGGCGCAGCCTGGTACGAGGCCTCTTCTGGTTCTCTGCTTGGTGCTGGACGATCCTCATCCGATACAACCCCTGCCCCCTGATATACAGTAGGTGGCCCATGAGGTTGCGTGCCAGGTTGTTCGGTCGGAGTCCACGGCCGCGAAATCTCAGGCGCTGGTTGTCGACTTCGAGGCTGTTGTCCGGCATATTGTTCTGCTCTCCTCTGGGCGGCAGCGCTTCGTGCTTGCAAGCCTGCCAGTGTCGAAGTCCCAGCTATCCCAGAAGCTGCGTATCGAGCCTCGATATCTGATGCTGGATGTTGTCCAGGTTCTATCACCGGAGTCTCCGGTGGCGGTGGCGAGCCACGTTGAGCACGAGTCGTCGAATTCGAGGCTGTAGAGCTGATTCGATTGATTGTGCTATTCGGCTGCAAATCATTCTGCGAGGCTGTTGGTCTCGGGGACGCTTGCGGAGGCGGGTAGTAAAGCGTGTGTTGTTGCTCGGGAATGCTGTTTTGGGGGTATGCGCCGTCGTTTGACACTGCAGGAGCCGGAAAGCGGGGGTGAATTCTAGCGAATAATCCTTCTCTGTCTGGAGAATCGCCGCTGGGAGATTCAGGGAGCGGCTTCGGGACGTTCCCTCGCCGCTCAGCTAGAGTTGCTTGCTTGGGTTCACGTCCTTCACGGGGCCGCAAAGCTGTAGGAAACCCTGAAGGCCGCGAGGAGATATGCTTGGGGACAGTGGAAGAATCGCAAGATACCGCTGCTGGACTGATAGGACTAGAACCACTGGAACCCGCGGGCCGAACCTGTTGGGGCCTCTGCCGGTCATCCGGATAGGGCAGAACAATGCCGTTCGATGAGGCTGGGGAAGGGGATTCTCGTTTGTTGATGCGCAGTGGTTCAATAACCGGCGACTCCGTTTGCGATGGCTGTGGTGTGGTGGTAGTCAGGAACAGCTCCTCCTGAGACCGGTCGCCCTGATGACGACTGGCACCGGCGCTCATGACGAGAGACGAGAAAGACGATGGATTTTGACTGCGCTCGGGTATTTTGAAGCTCTATTGGACATCAGCCGATCGAACGGCAAGTACTATGCGACCGCAGACCTCGCCACGAGGACCCACGACGCGGAGCTGACTGTAGAAAGAAGAAAGGATGAACTGTTGACGGAGAATGTGCTGATGGTAATTAAGGCCAGGTCCTAGGATAGTGAAAGGATTGAGACACACCAGAACTACGAAAGGGAGGGGGAGGGGAGGGGGGGGGGAAGAAAAGAGGAAGGAAGGAAAGGGAATTAGGGAAATAGGGAAAAAGAGTCGAAGCGG